CTCCGTACCAGGACAATCTGAAGTCAACCTTGCATCCTGTGTAATCCATGATGCTGAAACGGCCATGAGAAATGGTAAGTGTGCGGCTATGGTCACACTCGACATTCAAGGTGCATTTGATGCAGTCCTTCACAACCGACTGCTCAAATGCCTTCGAAAACAGGGCTAGCCACGATGCCTGTGCCGGTTTATTCAGACATTTCTTTACCAACGAAAGGTTCAGGTCAAATACCGCGGTGGAATCACAGAAGAGAAGATACTGGAATGTGGAGTACCTCAGGGCTCGCCACTATCGCCACTTCTTTTCATGCTCTACATCGCTGTGCTTTTTGAGGATCATGGTCTAACGAGTAGGTTTGGTTATGCTGACGATGTAGCTATTGTCAGAATTGGAAACACCGCGGCGGATACTATCTCCGCAGCTCAAGACGACCTCGACAGCCTTATCCTTCTCGCAAGAGAACACAGGATCGATTTTGACCCAGCAAAGTCAGAACTTCTAGTGACCGGAGGAGGGCCTAGAAAGGAAATCAACGCGGCTGATCTTTCCATCTTGGTGAAAGATCGCCGGATCGAACCGTCACCTCATATCCGGTGGCTAGGAATCTGGCTTGATACCCAGCTAAACTTCAAGCAACAGGTACAGGAATGGACTGGAAAAGCTAATAGTCTAGTCCATTTCGTACAAAATGTAAACGGAGTTCAACTTGGTGCAGCACCCGGACCTTTGATTTGTGCGGTACATGCATGTGTTCTGAGTACTGCTCTATACGGGGCAGAAGCGTGGTGGCTAGGTCTCACTCGAATAACCACACTGCGAGATAAAGAAGTCGGCACTGGAGTAGGCTGGCACATATCTCTATTGGAAAAAACGATAATGAAAGCTATTAGAGTAGCACTCCCAGCGTGGCGTGCCACTCCCAATGTTGCTCTTCATCGTGAAGCGGTAATACCCCCGGCATCGATAATTCTTCAGCAAAAGATGCTGCGGTCTGCAGCTCGTATGCGAAGAATGGATGCCTGGCACCCTCTAGCCATTCGGGCGGCTGAGGATCCGAAAGAGACAATAAGACGCTTAGGTCTTAGATCGGGACAAAGAGATCGAATGTTCAGACAACCAAAACGGTACATGACACGCCTACAAATGAGTGTGCGTCGAGTTCCAACAGCCGAAGGCCCCGGAAAGCTATACTTCCCACGTGGCACTCCAGCATCGATTCCATGTAGTCGAGAAAATGAGGCTAGGTCTGGAAGCATAAAGCGGTGGTTAGCTTCCCGCCCAGCTAACACAGTCTTCGCTTTCTCTGACGGATCTATTGAAAGGTTATGCTGAGCTGGAATGACGTACCGTTAGGATGAAGGTATTGATGGAGGTAGCTATGGCTTTAAGAGAAGTAAAATTCGTGAGTTATACTCCTAGGACTTGGATCAATGGACGAACTTGAGGATATTCCCTAGTATTCTCAAGTGTGTAAATAATATGGAGATTGTTTGAATTTCCTATTTTATGGATTGCTCAAGTTCTCTACGTGACAGGACCTTCTCCTTTATACATGAATAAGGGGGTTCTGCACACTAGTGGATGTTCCAACATCTATCCTTGTCTAATCGAGAAAGGAAGGATGTAAGAGATCCTAGCGCCAATAGATACCATTAGGAGTCTATTGGGAAATACTATGTCATACCAATGAGTGATGATCTAGTTCAATCATATCCCATGGCGTATGTGCACATTATTCTTATGTGAACAGTTTATTATAATGCAGTCATGTTACTCCCTTAACTACAACAGGATCTTCATCGGGTCCCGGACAAGAAGCCTGGGGATACGTGGTACACCAAAGAGGCAAGATAGCTGGAAGCGGCGCTGGTCCATTTCCCGGAGCAGAGGTATTCGACTCGGAAGTTGTAGGCGCCATGAAAGCCTTAGGGGCTGCAGTAGTGATGGCAGAAGGCTTACCAATCTACATTGTTCTGGATAACCAAGCGGCCACCCGGGCGCTCGAAAGAGAAAGATCTAGCTACTCGCAGGCAGTGGTGCACAAGTTTTCGTCACTGAGACACAACAAGCGTGTGGAAATACGCTTGATGCCTAGTCATGGGGATCCATGGAAATGAAGAGGCCGATAAGCTGACCAAATCAGCCTTGGGAGCTTTCAATAACCGGTCACCAATCTCAGCTACGCCCAGTGGAGAAGAGCAAAATTTAACCTTGGCTGCATTAGGGAGGTGGGTTAAACAGTGCAGCCAAGAGCTCGTGGAGGAGTGGTGACAGGAGTATCGGCCGAAACGATATAAAGATCTGGACCTCTTCATGTACAGCAAACGACCGCGGGAACTAGATTTACCAAGATAGGCGTATCATCGTCTTATTGCGGCAAGAGCTGGCCACGGGGACTACGCCAAATTGTTGTAATTAAGGCAGCAACATGACTGCAGTAAACAAATAGTACATATTAGAATAATATGCACTGGCGCCATGAGATATGATTAACCCATATCATCACTCACTGGCATGAATAGTAATTAGCCAATAGATGCCTAACAGCATACATTGGCTTCAGGATCTCCAACAACCTTCCCGTTTAGGTTAGATTAGGGAGTATGTTGGAGTTCACACTAGTGTGCGGAAAACCCCGCTTTCATGTATATAGAGGGACTTCTCGCCACACATATAGAATTATAGCAATTTCTTTACAATTAACTATCCATTAAACATCAGTAGACTTCGTGGTACATTAAACAAACTCATCATAACTCTAATTTATCCTCATACTTGGTATGTCATTCTTACAATTTCCGGAACCATTCTAATTCAAATAACACCGGCGTTTCAACCCTGAATATGAAGGTTTGAAGTGCGTTTGCGGCCGATAGAAAAGGCCCTGGGATCTTTCAGAGTGCCGACTTGCTCTGCAACGTTGGAGAAGCTGTGAGAAAAGGCCTTGCCTGTCAGGGAATACATCTGGATCAACATCATCCCCTGCCAAATACTAGTGTTAACGTATAGCATATGTGTTGGTGGGCCATGTAATGGGTTGGTTACCACATAGGTTTAGTTCAGGGTTTATCTCATGTAACGTTGAGCTATTGTGTGAGTTGGAAGGAAGCTCCAGTTCACTTTTACCTAGAGTATAACTAGTCGCTTTACTGCTGGTAGGATTGGGCATATGACTTTCTTGTATCTTTATTACCCGTTAGAGACTACTTACTTATTCGAGCTACCTGTATATCATAACTCCTACCCAGTGATATTACCTATCTGAGACGTCTCCCTAACATTGCCTGGGCCAGGTAAATGATTGTGGAGAAGGAATGGCAGAAGTTGTTAGACTCTACGAGTCAATTGAATAATGAATGAAGTAAAAGTAAAAAGTATCAATGAATTCCTGGCTGCCATTTCTCTTACTGATACTATCTAGATTATGTACATCTAGAAAATGGCAAATGCTCTATGTGTCCCTAACTTGTCCCCATGAACCGAGTTTCTCATGGTTTGGAACGAAACATCTCTAGTGAGAAGATATAGAGTTCCCATTGCTACAAACCAAGCGAAACACCTTTTTCCGAAACAAGTAACTCCTGTTGTAGTTAAGGGAGTAACATGACTGCATTATAATAAACTGTTCACATAAGAATAATGTGCACATACGCCATGGGATATGATTGAACTAGATCATCACTCATTGGTATGACATAGTATTTCCCAATAGACTCCTAATGGTATCTATTGGCGCTAGGATCTCTTACATCCTTCCTTTCTCGGTTAGACAAGGATAGATGTTGGAACATCCACTAGTGTGCAGAACCCCCTTATTCATGTATAAAGGAGAAGGTCCTGTCACGTAGAGAACTTGAGCAATCCATACAATAGGAAATTCAAACAATCTCCATATTATTTACACACTTGAGAATACTAGGGAATATCCTCAAGTTCGTCCATTGATCCAAGTCCTAGGAGTATAACTCACGAATTTTACTTCTCTTAAAGCCATAGCTACCTCCATCAATACCTTCATCCTAACGGTACGTCATTCCAGCTCAGCATAGCCTTTCAATAACTCCAAGCTTTGTAAATCTAACACCTTAAACTCTATATTGATCGCTCCCAAACTATTCACAGTTTGATAGAAGTTCATCCAATATTTAACCACTAGCAGATGCTACAGTCTGCCCAAGAATGAACAGGGTGAGAGATGACCACGCTGAAACAGATTCCAGCTCGAGAGGAGATATGCTTGGATAGAGATGCAGCGCAGGGCACTATATTTCAGATATTTATTGTTCCTTTATTTTTAATTTCCTTTGTCGCTTCTGTCTTTAATGCCGGTCATGTAGGTAGCAATGAACTCTCAGAGCTTATCAACTCGTGTCACGTCTAAATAGATGTAGGGTCCGTCCTGTCACCTTAAATATTTCAAATCAAATCAAACCTAGTCCAGCTAATCAGATCCGAATAATTATCCCAACAGGTGAAAATTTAAACATGTAGCAAATATGGGTTAAATTTGTTAAAGGGCGTGCATAGTTTATCCTTCCTATTTCCAATCACCGGAATTGAGGTGTCTTCCGCATTATATGAGCCTTTTCGTGCATTTACTTTTGATATTGTGGAGCTGGATATCATTAATCTGACCTGGCCATTGATACTCATCCGGTAACTGTTCTATAGGGTTTGAGGAAAAGATGAAGAAAATAGGGGTTCATTTCATTGATCACGGATTGGTAGCTCAAGATAGAAGAAATTTCAAGGTTAAAAAGTATAATTGGTACAAAATCCTATTAGAAATTTGCTCAGGTTTGTTATGTGTACAATACACATGAGGTTAAAAATATTATCAGAATAGGCACTAGATTAATGCGGTATGGTTACACCAGACAAATGAAAGCAAGCATGATGCAAGAGGGGGCACTCATCGCCCGAAACTGTTACTCTTAAAAGTCCCAAAACTTTCTTCTTGCCAGTATACAATTTTTTACATCTCTCTATCCTGAACGTTTTAATAGTAGTGATTTTCGTCAGGTGTTCTGCCTCTCATAAATAGAGGTTCGCTTCCTCTCACATAGATGTCTTCGAATAATATATTTGGCACGGCGTCGGGAACTTCCATTGCCTCTGCTTCAGCCACCTCTTTGTCTACGTTAGATCTGGCAAGTTGGTCGATTTCTTTCAACTCCGATTCCGAGAGAACGCTCCACTCTAGTAGCTTGTGCTTCAGTCCGGCAATCGGATCTTGCGTAGAGCGCATGCGTTGAATCTCCTCTCGAGTTCGATAGGTGGTTCCTGGATCTGACATTGAGTGGCCTCCGTAACGGTAAGTGACGTATTCGTAGACAAGTGGCCCATTTCCTGCTGCGGCCCATGCCTTCCCGTATGCGACAGCAGCTTTGACGGCAAGTACATCCATACCGTTAACCTTCAGACCTGGGATATATTGTCCACGCTTGTAGAAGTCTGTAGTGGCGGAGGATCGATTAATGGAAGTTCCCATGCCATATTTATTGTCTAATGTTGTTAGCATTTTTCCCAGCATTGAATTTGTTGCCTACTCTCGCATCCAAATAATACAGGAAGGTTCCAGAGCTTTGCCATATTGAACGCCTCAAATACTTGGCCTTGATTACTAGCACCGTCACCATATAGCGCTACTGTACAATTTTTCTTGTCGTTGTACTTGTGCGCGAATGCTAGCCCTGCTCCGACAGGCACCTGAGCGCCAACAATACCGTTGCCGCCATAAAAACCTTTTGCGAACATGTGCATAGATCCACCCTTTCCGTACGCAATTCCATCACGTCTTCCTAGAAGTTCTCCAATAATGCTCTTGACGCTAGCTCCGCGCATGAGAGCAAATCCGTGACATCGGTAAGCTGTAATAATGTCGTCCTCATTACTTAAGGCGTGTTTGATTCCGACTGCTACGGCCTCTTGTCCGGTTGATAAATGGCAGAAGCCTCTTATCTTTTTTTCCTTATATAGTCTATCGGCACCCATCTCCAGACGTCTGTAATAATCAGCGGTAAGTACATAGTATCTTTCTCGGGTGCAGACCTAGTGGAAACCATATCATAATACATTTGCTTTAATTCATTTTTGGTCGTGTCCAGCTTATAAGAAGGTGGATCTAGTTCGTAAGTTTCGAAACTTTCATCAGAAAGAATGATTTTAAATGGCTTATCGTCTTCCTATACGGTACGTCATCATCTGTGTTGCAAAATTATAATTTCAAATCGTTGCTGTCAATGATAAGGACATGAAAATATGTTATCTAACCTGTGGAACAGCTTCTGCATGTGCACTCGCAGCATCTGTAGTAACGGCTCTGCTTGATGGGATCGATCTTAAAAGCCGATTTTTGTGGGATAAAAAGGCACGGCTGACTCTATTCGCTGGAGAAAACATCTTGAGACTACGATGCGAATTTGTAGTCTAATGGATTCGATGCTGTTTCAGTGACTTCCTACGGATTCTGTGATGTTGCTGTGAGCTCTTTGAATAACACTAGGCTAATTCTGCATTAGTGGTCTGAATTAGTAATCACATTACCTAATTTGGAGACGTTACTAGTTGGTGTAGTGGTATGCTATTAAAACTAGTATCAATCCGATGGCGTTGCCTATTCAGGTCCAAAGATCACAAGTTAATCTCCAACAATAACCAACTATGTTACTCTAGATTTGAACATTACCCTGTGCAGTCTATGACTATGTAAGGAGATGTATGTACTTCCTGCTTACATGCCGAGAGTAGCTATGCTTCGGGTAGTAAGCCCCCTCGTTCCTCCTTCACGACTTTTTTCCAGCAGTAATACCCAAACTCTAATGTAGACCTGTGGGGGTACTAAATAAATTATTCTCGTATCTGTTAGAATTCAGAATATTGTGGCTATCAAGTAGGCCACGTCGTTGGTACACACGTGACTACAAATTCTGTACTTAGTTTCACTTCGGTAGTTACTTGAATCTACGCGCTCTACAACATCAGTGACTGAGGGGTCATTATTTCCTTGATAGTATCCAGAATTGGCGCTTTAAGGCCCTTGCAGGCTTTTTCGGAAGATATGTATTTCATGTAGGATGACTCAGTTTGACGTTTGAAACACTTACACTCGGATTGCATTTACAGATGCTACTCGAGGTTAATCTTTACGGCGTATCACCTCTTCCATGAATATCCACCACAGGAAAGAGCGTGATGTTATGGCACGCCGTTTATGGCAAGCAAGAACTCAAAGTTTAAAAGTTGATAGAGCTTAAGAGCAAAGCTCTGTACCCAAATTAAGTGAGTAACGAGATTTTGGGTGGGTAGTAAGGAAACTCTCATCAGTGTTTCCATAACGCCATGCCTCCGAATATTACACGATCCAACGCCATATATCTATAGTAGATTCCTAGTCACTTAATACGTGAAAACCTTATAGTTATCCGAATATGCTTTAATGATTCAACAAATGCAATATCACCGCGAGAGAGGGTGGGGAAGGGTTTTACTGGATTCGAACCAGGTGTGACGGCAAGTCAGCTGATTTAGAATCTGCAGTCTATACTATTCAGCATAGGCATATTCAGTACGTCAGCGCTAAGTTACGCATGTGTCCAAAGTCAGGCTCTTCTTATGCGCGCAGTATCATTGGTAACTAGCTCACACGCTGATGCTGGGGGTTTGCCTAGAGAGCTGCTACTAGTCTCTTAAATAGGATGGTCGTGTATTTTAGTTATGTACTGTATGCTGGAGTAGTTTGATCTCTAGTAAATAAAAAAATGTCTTTTGACATAGAAACGCCCAAGCTTTCTACATCGAAACTATTCCATCATCTCTTTCCTGTATCAAATCGGGTAGGTGCTCAAGCTACCGTATATCTCATTGGGAAAGCAACCCGAATGGTATATGACTGCGCCACCTAACCGACTGTGGGAGCACTAATGCTGGAAAGAAGTCTTAGATTAGGGACAGAGCGTAGGACACTACCCGAGACATAGATTAGATTTTTATAATAGTCCCTACTGAGTCTAAGACTATGGAGGACTTTTTTACCCGAGACATAAATATGTGTGTGTGGTTGTTGTATTTTTAAAGTTCTGAGCTATAGTAAAAAGATCTACATCCTACTATTGGTACAGGACTGATGGAGCCGGTAAGGATCACTGTATACAGGCCCGACTCATTCCAACCGCGTGAACTTCCACATAAATAATGGTGTTAACAGCAAAACTAAAATCATAAATAAAAATCAAAAACAGAAATCAAAGACATAAATCAAATTCAGAAGAAATCCCAATGAGGTCCGAATCCCGCGCTTCTCGCCCGTTCCCTTTCCTGTCACATTTTCCAAGTGACGCTTTCTGACCTTCGCTCAGAGCAGAAGATGGGCTCGCAAGCACCCTTTCTCTATCTGGTGTCTGCTACGGTTTACCCGTTGTTTAAGCTTGGCTGAATACCCAAGCGCATTGCTGAGGACTCTGATGATAAGACAGTTGGGATCGAAGCAATGTCATAGCACAGTGAATATGGGCAATGCGTAGCCGTGCGATAATTATTCGACCTAAAGAAAAGGTATAAGCAACGAGATTCATAGAGTGAACTGAAGTTTATAAGTACCTTGTAGCTGTAGCTAGATATCTCTTCTTCATAGAGTTTATTAAATCGATTTTTTCATCACCAACTCGGTTTCTATCACAGTTCGCTTCTTATTTGCATGGCTGCGCTGCTGGAGGACAAGACTGAACACCTGTACGCGGTGTCCTCTACGAACCTGGGAGTGAAATATTCTCCCAGAGTCAAGTTCAGTCAAATTTCGCAATATCAAAGAAGTTGGCCCACGAGGCAAAAATTCAAATTACTCCTCCATGTCAATCTTTCACTCCCAAAGAGTCCGATTCTCAACTAAGCTTCATTAAGTTTACAAGTACGACCTAGTACATTCTCGTTTCAATGACCACGCCACTCCTCGACTTTCTCTGGCCTCAGCCGGTCACCAAATACACTCCCATGCCGAGATTTACATCTGACGGAGGACACAAAGAGTGGCGCACAAATCTAGGAGACCGTTCTTTGGGATTGGCGTGAGAGGATCAGGACAAGATGACAAGATGATGCAGATGAATGACACGTTTTTGACGGGCGTGAAATTTCGAATTTTGGCAAGAGTTTTACGAATTCAGCTTTGTGCGCGCCAAGACTTCGCTTGCGAGAGTGCAGCTGACACTATAAAAGCAAGCCGACGATGGAAGGTGTTGTGATCTGCCTCCTGGTGATGATCTCTAGTATAGTTTGAGTAGCCTGGGCAACTACTCCATTTGGGAAGGAGACATCTCAGATTACATTTCGCGCGAAGAAAAGTTGATGGATGTCAGAAGCATGTCTGGATAACTCAGGGTTTTTAAGACGTTACCCTGGGTGGGTATTCACGGATGAGGGTTGACTTGGGGTGAAGAAAAAGCCATCATAACTTCGCAGTGGTACTTGCAAATGAAATCCGAGGCATGAGTGCTCTTCTTGTAAATTGAGTCATCTTTTCTGTACTTTTCTTTGATATGGTTTTTTTTCTATTTTTAAGTCCTAGGATATACCCGTTTTCCCCTGAGGGTCAAAGACTGGGGTTTGCAGCTAAGATCATATCTATGACATGCCCAACTTGTTCCCACCACGTGAACCGCTACTCAAATTGTAGCCAGTTAAACTACATGCAGCCATATACAAAATAGAAATCACAACATAACTCTAGGCTCCAAAACTTTGAGCTCCAACTAAATATCTGCACTTGTCTCAAGGAGCCGTGTTATTAGTATTCCGTAGGGTACGAATTTGGTACAAGTAGGTTACAGGTGTGGAGTATGGTGGTGATTCCTAAGAGTTGGAGGTATAAATTCAGCGTTAGGTATAGGGTTCACATAAGAAGTAAAGATAAAATAAGTAGTAGGTGAGAAGGGTACAATAACGGCGGTCTTCTTTAGAGAAGAGATAAGTACGTGAACAATAGGTATGAGTATAAACAGAAGACGTTGCGTGAAGAAGAATAGTCCTTCACGCTGGGTATATATGTACATCAGATAATAGGACAGCCCTAAGCTCTGTCTCGAACAGTATTACTACGCAATCCCTATGAAACGACCCTATGTTCCTGAGCTTGTCCTAATTGTTTGAGAACTTGATCTAACCCCGAGTTGTGTTTTAGAATGGAACTCCCCATGAGACACCATCCTAGTTTCCGCCACGTTTATCCATGAAAACTTGTGGTTGGGAAGCAAAACTTTTCGCCTCGTTCCCCTTCTGATTGAGTCATGTTACATGACTTATTTATGTGGACCTCGCTGAGAGCAGAGGTCCAGCCTGCAGTTGATCACCCACAACATCGGGTTTTCTGTGCAAAATTTTTGAATGCTTCAAGGCACTTGGGTCCTAGAGTTTCATGTGTAAAGTCGTCGTGTGACTTTAGACCTCGTATTCGACGTGTTTCGTGAGAGCAGAGGCGACAGTGGATAAATTGGGTTGGTCTAGTCTCTTTCTCACATGCGCATTTACTAGGTGCGTCTGCATTGTTGAATCGGCACTGATAGGTCGAAAAATTGCCGTGGCCCGTACGGGCCGCAATTAGTTCGCGTAGCAGATGTCTTGATAGGGCTAGTTCAGGGGGCTTGCGCCGTTTCATGAGCAGATCTAGCTTTCGATACCGAACAGGGCACGCTTTATCCCACCAATCGTTGAGCAAAGCCTGTAGCCGGTTATTCATGAGACGGCGAAGGTATGCCAATGAAATGGTTTCTGGTTGGTTGTCCGGACTGGGCAGCATTCGTAAGCCGAGGCGCGCAGTAGCGTCTGCTTCTTCGTTCCCTTGTATTCCAGAGTGACCGGGGATCCACTTAATCGTCACAGCAGCGGACGCTGAGAGTATGCGAAACTGACGTACCTCTTCGAGGCTGGTTGAAGAGATGCCCGTCTCAAGTGATTTTATAGCATGTTGACTATCCAGAAAAACATTCACTCGCCGGATCGTCTCCACCAGCTGCTGTTGCGCTTCTTTAAGTCTCAACGCCGCCTCAAGAGCCTTCAGTGCCCCTGTGATTTCTGCGTCCAAGACCTCTCCTCCGTGTCGGATACCATTCTCCTTGAGAAGAGTTTTACCATATCTCTTCATAACAAAACCCCAAGCTGAACGTCCGTTTCCCTCCGAAGAGCCGTCTGAGTAGGCGCAAATTTCCGATGTGGGCACGTTGTCTATCCAAAGTTTGCTTGCTTCTTTTCCTTCTGACTTGGTCATGTATCTAGCAAAGTAGGATGGCGGCGGTAGGGGCATCGAAGCTTCTGCATCCGGAAGTTGTCGATAGGCTCGCTGTGCACGAGTCCTTTGTCTATCTACATGTTCAAATCTTCGAGGTTTTTCCTTGTACTTTCCAGTCCTAAAG